GCTGCGGCCGCCTCGCCGCACTTTTCCGGTCCCGAGTCGCCGCCACTGCACCCCGCCTCGCCAAAGCCGACGACCGCTACTTCCTCAGCTGCATACTTCGGGACGTCCACCTCCCCCTCACGGACCTCGTCAATTTCTGCGACGCCTGGCAAATACCCACCCAGCCCTGGCACGCCAAACATTTATTAGAACCGCCACAACAACAGTTGCCACGACACACGGAACAGGAACAACACCTGCCGTCCGCCAAAAAACGGTGCGGTGTCGGATTCACTGAGCTGTAATCAGCGGCGAACAAAAGATGGTGATAAAACTGTTGCCCGGAGTGTCTTTTTGTTCCGTGTGGATGACCACACACCCATCGAACGTCTCACGACGGTGCATCAACCAACACACATTTTATATCACAGGTTGAAGTAGCTAGAAATGAGTAACCATCCCGTTCTGTTGTTGTTATGTCTTCTTGGTCCCCTGGTGCATTAAACGCCGATACGTTGCGCTCCTGCAAACATGTGTTCATTGCGTTGATGAACAATGGTCATGAATTTGTTGGAATGGTTGATTCCGGAGTCCAGATAAAAGTCATATCGAAAGAAAGACTGTTCGATTACAGAGAGATTCCTGCCGCACACACGCGTTTCCAAGTCGTTACTAAAACTTGGATTAAAGCACTCCTGATTCTCGAAAATGGTTCATAACTGTTCGCTACATTCGGCATTGTTGAAGACGTTCCGCCAACACTCTTAATTCTCGGTTTATCTTTCCTCATTTCTTCCGCGGCTACATATAATTTCCGACGACTTACCTTCTGCAACCGTGCTGGCTTCGCTCTAATGACGAGATAGACTTACTGATGATGTCATCCAACCCCCAGCTAGCCCGTACGGATCTAAAATAGTCATGGTGCTAAAGAACACTGGCGTATGTGAATCGACTGGCGTATGTGAATCGACTACCCCACCCTGAATAAAGCTACCATTGATGATAAATACCCACTACCGAAGCTCTCCGAACTTATCCGTTCCCTAAAAGACTCAAAGTACTTCACAATTTACTTTATTTTTTACTTGATGACCTACGTTACTAAGGTGTGTTAGTCTACCTAGACGATATCTTAATCGAATGTAGCATCGCTTCTCACCGATCAAGTCTTCGAGTGTGTACTGGTTGGCTTGCAAAAATGCCAATTCTTACCGTCCGTACTTCCATACCCAAGATGCCACCAAGTTCGTTACAGACACATGTCGAAGACTACGAGACCTACCTATGGCTCGAAGGCATTCACTCGACATGCACCCCTCGAAGGTGCCTTCTCATTTCGATCACTGGAGCTGCAAGTTTAGAGGCAAGGAGTTTACTGCACTAGCGATGTTGACCCCCTTACTAAGTGGGCCGAAGCTACCATAGTCCCGGACAAGACCGCGACGACTACCGCCTCTGCCTTTTTGGCGTTCCAATACGTGTGATATCCGACAAGCCCATGACTTCACTGGCCATGTTCTCGAATTCTTGCTGATGATCTTCAGTGTCGTCATATCCACAGCGTTCCCTACCGACCACAAGGAAACTCACCGATTGATGCATTCCACCGAAGCCTCAATGAAGCATTCAAGTTCTATAACCTACGTAACCTAACATTCGATCTTCCGGACGCACTTGCACTTCCGGTGCCAATATCCATACACGAACGACGATGGCAAGTTACCTAATATGCAGGCGATCGGACCAGTAATTGCGTGGGCGGCAGACCAGCAAGAGATCATGAAGATCGATCTGTCCAAGGCTTTTCACGCGATTCCCGTAGCCGAAGATCAGAGGAGCTACTATTCGTTTCTTGGTATGGACGGGGCGGCGTACAGATATAGACGCATGCCAATGGGTGCGATGTCTGCCCCGAAACACTTTTCGAAATGAGTGCGATGACGAAAGTGCTAGGCGAACTAACCGATTCCGACAAGACGCATGTCAGATCTTACCAAGATGCCATCATCGTAACACTAGAGATGAATGTTTGCGGTCTGATTGTGTGGGTAGTATAATGAGAGCGACGCACCAACTTTCATACTATATATAACTTGCACGTCTTCAGTTGTCGGGCTACTATTCATTCGTCCACTGGACACTCTCCTGCATATCTTCCTCACGGCGGCGACCCAGTCTCACCTTACGCTCGAGACTACCGACTCCTAGGCAAGAATCCGCCAAGCCGTTTCCTTGCTCTGGGTGAAATACGACTTGCAATACTCGACAACTTAACTGCGCTGTACGACTATTCGTGTAAGCGCAATTATTTTTGGGCCGCCCCGATGAGGAGCTACGCGGGATCGAGGAAGTACCTCCCGCTGGAGACCCCGCTCGCTATCTTTACGTGCCTGTCATCGAACCCGGGGGAGAGGCCATCAACGAATCTGGACCCGAGGCCGGCCGCCGAAAGGCGGAGTATGATGCACACGGCTAGACTCTGCTCGGCTAGTTCCTTAGAGCTGCAGGCAGTAGAGCCGCCCTGGGGATCTAGATCGTCTTTGACGAGCCAGTCGATGTCGGGCCAGCCGGTGGGGGACCAGTGGATGGAGGGTTACTGGATGCCGGGTCAGGCGGTAGCGGCTCAGCCGATGCCGGGTCAGTCGACGGAGGGCCAGGCGGTGGCCGCTCAGC